GGTGAGGCGGCCCGCGGGCCAGCACCCCGGCCCCGCCTCCCATCCCCCAGGGCCGCCAGCCTCACCAGTGGTTCCGGGCGGCTGAAGCTCCGATCGGGGGGCGCCCGGCCGCCCCGAACATGAACGACACCCGGGAGCCCGGCCTCGGGGCTCAGGCCCGAGAACTGGCTCCAACCACCGCGGCGGGGGCGGCGGCGGCGACCTGCCCCGAGCAGTTCAGCATTTTGAGCCGGGGCTTCCGGGAGCGGGAGGGAGGCGGAAGCCGGAAGTCGGACGCAACCATCCGTCCCGCGCCCCCCCGCCTCTAAACTCCCGTTTTTTACCCACAGAGACAACGAAGGGAAACTTCTCTTCCCGCTAGAAATGTACGGCTTTTTTCTTTCTTATGTTTTAGAAACGGAAACAGGGTGGAAAAAAGCGGAGTCCAAGGGAAGCGGGACTCCGCACCCCCCCGAAGCCTGGCTTATGGTTTGGCCCGGTTGCCTAGGAGACCGATGACAACATCCGCGGGAAAGCAGAACCGCGGGTGATGGCCACGCTCGCCCGGCTGCAGACGCTGTCGGCCGCCGTGGGACATCAGTACTATTTTAGGAACAGGTGAGTCGCCCCCCCGCCCCCGGGGGACCCCTCAGAGACCTGGCTTGACTGTCGGCAGTGGCTTCTCAGCGGGGGCTTCCTAACAACACGATTCCTAATTCAAGAAGTTTAAGTCTTTGCCCTTCAGGGGCCAGCTGCACACATCGCCACAAATTTAAAAGTGCTCTGACCCTACAGGGATTGACAATGCATGGGCTGGGGGGCACAGATATCAGCTTGAGGTGATCTAAATAGATAAAACTGTAAAATCAAGTGTTTTTCTTTGACATCGCCTCTCCGCAATTTGAGGAAAGGAAGCGTAAGAGCCTGATTGGGGTCCCCTGGGCTCCCCTTATCAGGGTGAGCTAAGAGGTCGCCCATACCTGGAACGTGTGCCTCCGTCATGTCACAGACATTAGTGAACTCTGTCCTATGACACGTTCGTTGCCCTAAAGTGACAGGATTGAAACCACTGGTGGTAACGCGCATCAGCGTATTCATTAATAGGAGAGAGCTAAGGGAGACACTGGCAGCCTTGTCCATCTCCCTGCACACGAACTTCCATCTCAGGAAGACGTTCATTTGAACCACGGCCTTCTGGAAGTAATGCCTCAGGAGTTCTTCCGACTTAGGAGACATGCGGAAGCAGAGAATGAGACGATGGTAGGATGGGGTGACGTGGGCAGACCAATGGGGGAAAAAAGGTCAAGGTCTTACTGACTTCTTTTTCTAACGTTATTCTCACCGACTACCTTATAGCGAGCTCCCCGTACCTCTCTTGTAGCACTTAATCACAATTCAGTGGTGCATTGGGTGTGAGATAATATCCGTGGTCCCTCTTAAACCGCAAGTGGAGAGAGAACACTTGGAGGAGACAGTTCCTTGGTTTGTTTCAGTGCCTTCCTTTATTGATAACAGGGTGGTGGCAAAAATGCTTGCGCCTTCCAGTTGGCTCCAGAATCCTCCTGAAGTTGAAAGATGACATTCATGGGGAAATGCTATTATTACTAAGTGCTTAGGTTAGCACTTGAGTCCCCCAGGGCCCGGAAGTCCACAGAGAGAGACACTTCTCTGCCTAATGTAGAAAAAAGACTTGGAGCTGCCAAGAAGTGAGCAGCACATATGGGAGGAGCTGATGGGATGAGAGACTAGGGGGCCTTGGGAGACTGGGCATTGCATTGCCTGTCCAGCCCAAGCTCTCTGGACAGTTGCTTGCACAGGAAATGTTTTGTAGGTGTTCATGTTTTTGTTTTTGTTTTTTCTTTTAAATCCTCATCTGAGGATATTTTTTCCATTGCTTTTCAGAGAGAGTGGAAGGAAGAGAGAGAGAGAGAGAAACATCGATGAGAGAGACGCATCAATTGGTCGCCTCCTGCATGCGCCTGGACCTGGGCTGGGGATCGAGCCTGCAACTGAGGTATCTGCCCTTGGCCAGAACCGAACCCGGGACCCTTCACTCTGAGGGTCAACGCTCTAACCACTGAGCCAAACAGGCCAGGGAGGTGCTCATGTTTTGACCTACTGATCAGAGAGGCTGACTATTGTGTCTAGGATGTCACAGGTTGGAAACAGATAGCCCTTCCCCTCACACCCCCTCTAACACAGATTCCCTAGTTTCCCAGCCCACATGGCAATTTCTTTAGGATTTAACTGCTCAGGAAATGAAGTTAATAATAAAACATTTAAAAAAAAACCAACACAAAACATACATTGTAGGATCTCCTAATATATTCTAATACTTATGTATTGTAGCTCATTTACACTGCGCTGTGAAATAATAGTAATGAATGAATAGGACTATGAATGAAAATAGAACGTGGCCAATAACTTCCAAAATGTAGTTACTGACCTCTTACTGGGCATGTGGGTGATAATCCAAACACAGAGTTTATGCCTTTAAAGGAGGTTGAAATCCCTGAGACCCAATAGTGAAATGATAGTCAAAAAATAATAATTTTACACATCAATATATCTTATAACACGGGGCAGCTAATATTGGAATTTTGCTCTTGACATCTAAAATTGTTACAAGTTATATGATAGTGAGAAGGAAAACCTATGAAGTTTTTAATCTAGTATTTATTCAGCAGCTAATGCACGTAAGTTAGAAAAAGCACAGTATGCTCATTTGCAAAATGCATAGTTTTTGCATATTGCCGGAAAGATATTTAGCAGCACATTAAAAAAGAAAAGTCTATTTACTGTCAGTTAATTTCTGGCCACGAACGGTACACATGAAGATGATGTTATCCGGGGTTAGAGTACTTATTTCTAGTTGATGATGAAGTGACTGGAAACTTTCAGCCTTTTCTCGATGTTTTATTACATTCCCAGTAATACTTTTGATCTTTTGTCATTAATAATTCATTTCGTATTCATTGTGATAATATGGATCATAATAAATTTATTTCAAATTCATGGAGATGTCATATTTTATTCGCTGCTATTGGACTTCCATTGTAATTTGGAATTAATTAATATACCATTAAAATAAAGTGTTACGTACCCACATTTTTCATTTTAAACGTAATATATCTAGCAGTTCATGACATACTGTATGAGTACTCAGCAGCCCTGTGGTAACCCAAGTATCTGTAAATTTCATTTTTAAGCCATTAAAAAAAAAGGGGGGGCAACAGAAGATAAATGTGTATAGAAGTCAAATTTCAGCACATAAGTTAAAACTTAGCAGCAAGTTAACTATAAGTTATATTTTAAATGTTTCCCTTTAAGATGTATAGTTCTTGTAAGTATAGTACAATATGTGTGCTTGTATTATATGTGTTTTTATTTGTAACTCTGAAATGAGACAATCTAATTTTGCTCTTGACTGTATGTTCTGTGTTAGCATTATTACCAGGAGAGATTAGAAAACATAAAGAGCAAGGTTGCTATTTTAAAGTAAATTTTTTAATGCCCTGGCCAGTGTGGCTCAGTTGCTCAAGCATCGTCCCCTGCACCGAAAGGTCACGGGTGCGATTCCCGGTCAGGGCACATGCCCAGGGTTCAGGCTCCATCCCTGGTCAGCATGCATATAGGAGGCAACTGATCGCTGTTTCTCTCTCCCTTTTCCTTCCTCTCTCTCTAAAATCAAGGAGAACATATTTAAAAGTTAAAAAAAAAAAAATGCCAAGAACAGTGCCTGGCAAAGGAAGTGTCAGTTTGTTTCCGATATTCTTCCTCTTTCCTGTTTATTTTCACAGAGCCTTTCAGGTGTCTGCCTGTCTTTCACCAGCAGCGCCCTGGGTTCATGCTGCTAAGAGCTGGGGGGACCTGTTGGCTCCTGGGCCACTCCTCCTTCTGGGACAGGGAGGGGGCTTCAGTGCTGTGAGTGGGCCTGTGGCAGTGTCTGCACCCAGATGACAAGTGCCAGTGTGTGCGTGTCCCCCGCCCCCGGGGAAGCAGCTTTGGTGAGACAAAGGTTGAGTGTTAGGAGTCACATTAATTATCTGTACGGAGCCACTGGGACTGCTTTGTGGGTTTCAAAGTGTAGTGGAGAGACCATCATTAAACACTCATTAGATATGACTGTGAGGAAGAAATAGTAGGGGGAGCTATGAGGGTGTGAACGCAGAGGCCCACCGTAGTCTGCGGAGTCAGGGAGGGCTCCCTGGAGGAAAGGGCCGGAAGCTGTTCTGTCTCCCACATGGGATACAGAAGGTGAGCTGAGAGGACAGTTGTCCTCCGTCTCCTCTCATTTTGTACACGCAGCGGAAGCAAACAGCTGCAGTGACTCTACTTTTTCCTCTTGTGATCTTGCCTGCTTCATTATTTCCCGAAAAATGTATCACGTCCATGTGGCAGTCCCATCTCAGTGCCTCCCGCCGTCAGCAAGGCGACTGATCCTCTTGTAGTTTTCCAGCTTGTCCTGCGCTTGCACCACCCCTGGTGCAACCAACCGCAGGGCTGCCCGGAATTCCCCCCACTCTTTGTCACATCTGGGTCCCCGCCTTTGCTTTTGTGGGTCCTCCTCGGTCAGGCTCCCTAGGTAGCTCTCCCTCCTTCTAGACCTGTCACCCGTCTGCTCATTTCCCGCCTCTTGGCCAGTGACTATTTAATCACTCGTCCTACCCTCTTTCTCTGGCCAGCGCTACAGTCCAGTCTGAGAATTTTATTGTTTGAAGAGTTTTTAGTTTCCATCCTGTTTTTCTTCTGATGATGATGAATAAATTCAATGAAACCTATGTATTTACTCTAACCTTCAATGACAACAAAAATAACCTCTCCAAAAAACCCCAGAAACCAACCACGTGCAATTATTGAGGGATTTTTTTTAAGTAAGAAATAAATAGCCAGTTTTTATTCATTCAGCCAACGTAAAGTGCTAATTCTGCGCCAAGCAGCATTCTAGGAGCGAAATCCCTCCGTGGGCCCAGCAGCTGCCCTCAGCCGTATCCCTTTACCAGTCGGTAACGTCTGGTTAAAATGAACATGGAAGTCTGTCTTGATTAAACCTTTTCTTGCTGTAAGTTAATAAATCTAAGGTCTGAATTTTTAAATTTCTTTCTAATCTCCCGTTTCCTTGAACTAAAATGGACTTTCAGAGAATTCTACCTCGAATTGGCATTCTGTGATTGATTGATTTTACTTAGAGGCAATTCATTTAACGGATGCGTTGAATGAAATCTGCAGGCATTTTAATCTTGCCCGATATGTTTTTTAAAAAAATTAAAAATAGCACATTGCTTTTTTATTTTCTTATAGCATCGTTTGGAAATTAATTAGTTGCAAAGTACATGGTTATAAAAATTAAAAAAGTAAAACTGTCAAGAGTACATGGACCCTCAGAGAAAGGTTAATTTTTAAAACATAGCTTAGGATTTCTGAAATTTTTTTTTTTTCTACTTAGCACCTTAATTTTATTTAAAATGACATTTGGATTATAATGATCACTTTGGAAGAAATTAAAGATTAAGTTTAACAGATTGACTTACTTTAGAATCATTTTAGTCGCTAATGAAATGCTTTATTTTATTTTTTAAGTGTTGTGGATACATTTAGAGAAAAAGAAAACAATGCAGCAATCAAAATCCAGAGCTGGTTTCGAGGTTGTCGAGTTCGGACATATATCAGGTATGTTGATGTTGTCGTGGAAAATTCAGATCTAGCATAAAAATATACTCCTTACAGAATGCAACTTGTGCATGTAGTGCTCACTCCAAATAATCTTTTATGTTACTTGTAATGAAGTTAATAAATTATATGATGCCCCTTTTAAAAATACAACTTCTGTTGGTCATCTTTTCATACATGTTAGGAAACTAAATCGTATTGACCATTTCTCAACTTTCAACTATTCTCAGTATTGTAAACATACTTGATAAAATTCTTCAAATTCCATAGATGTGACAAATGGCTGGACTTGTATTTGTAGCAAATTAATTCATTGACAGGTAAGAAAGAAAAACAAAAACAAAAAGCAAGCTCTCCCTTCCGATTTTTTCCAACACATTGGTAAGTGCATCCCTTCCGATTTTTTCCAACACGTTGGTAAGTGCAGGTAAACGATACCAGAACGATGCCATTCCTACTGCAAAGAGATTGACGTTGACCCTCAGCTGTTCCACTATTTCTTCAAACCTTCCTTCAGTTTCCCTTCAGTTCTGAAAAACGATTTTCCTGGACAGAGGTGGGGGAAGACCATGACCCCTCAGTAATAACTGGAATGCGGGCCGGGATCACACCGCATACGTCCTCACATTGTTGGCCGGTGGGGACCAGGCGTGCGGATTAAAGCGTAAAGGTTTCTCCTTTGATCCCAATAAACTAGAACCGTGGCAGCCAAGAGGGTCGTTAGGATTCAGACCAACAGCACGTTCGCTTGGGCAGCCTGAGCGATACCAGGAAAGATCGAAGAGGGGAAGCGTCTGCTGACCTCAAGAATCACTTCTGAATTCTCATGGCAAGTCCCATTGGTGGCGCCTGGCTTAATTCTCAACTTGTCGCTATGGCCTGTATGAGAGTCTTAACATTAAAAAACATTTTAGAGAGTAAGTGTGGAAGAAAAATGGAAGTTTTAAAGAAATTGTCTAAGCAGGAGCCCCAAAGAACTACTGAGTAGTTGTCTATGCCTTTTATTCCAACTTGTAGGAATTATTCATTCTATCCCAGAATGACAACTCTCCACTTTTTAAAAGTACACATTAGGTTGGCTTTGAGTTTGATTTTTTTTTTTTATCACAGATATTAAGAGAGATTTTTGTTTCAATGAAAACGTGCTAATAAGCATATTTTCTCACTCAGATATTTACACAGAATATCAACAGTTATTCAGAAATGGTGGAGAAGTTGCTTAGGAAGGAAGTATTACCGCCTCACCGTGAAGGTAAATAATATACAGTGTATACATGTTAGCATTAAAATGACACAACCCATGCCCTAACTTGTTCACTTTGGTCATATTCACAGGTAATTTTAAAGTGATTTACCTAAGAACAAAATTGGATTTAGTGTTTTGTAGGAGACCTCATCTGAGAAGCCTTTCCTGATGTTTCCACGGAGAACTGATGACTCATTTCTTCCAAATCAGTTATAAGTTAATAAGGCAACATTTGTCACCCTTTAGTGTCAGAGCATAAAACTGAAACATTATATATATATTTTTTTTCCCTTCAGGGTATCTCCTTTTAAATAAACACCAAAGTCTGAATAACTTAAGACTCTGACCTACAATTTGAAATGTTATTGACATTTTTTCATTATAATTCTGAAATTAATTTAGATGCGGTTCACCTGCTTTTAAAGAGGGTATTAATAGCGGCTGGGAGAAATAATGTCATTGGCTTTTAATTTCTGTGGGGGGGGGTGTGTGTGTGTGTGTGTGTGTGTGTGTGTGTGTGTAAAAACAAAGGCTGCTTTAAAAATCAGCTGTTGATAACGACCAGATTGGTATCAGTTGCCAGGAAACAAGGCAAAGCATATGCCCAAAATACTCCTGATTATTTGATAATAAATCATTTTAATGATTCCACTCAGAATTATGAGACGAGGGTGACACTGATGTGGAAACTAACAGAGGCTGGGGCTCATCAGGTCTGTTGCCCAGATGTGCCTGGTTTCTGCAGCTTCCAATGCATCCGTGTAATGCAAATATTGTCTCTGTATCGGCCAATCTAGCAAATAAAGGCAGTGGATCTGGCCACGTTTATATGGATATATTCCTCGAAAAGGTCTCACTTATGGTTTTTTGGGGTTTTTTTGTAGGGCTTGTTTGTTTTGGCTTGGGTTTTTTTGTTTTGTTTTTTTGGTACTTTGAAAAGCAGCTGGGCTAGAGAATTGAGAATAAATATAACATCAGTTACTGGTTCACACGCGACCCCTCTCATAATGACCATCACTATGTCCCAAGCACTTTTATCTCATTTTAATCCTCACAACAGCTCTAGAAAGTATGGGATGTCCCATTGCATAAGGGTGGAAATCAAGACTGGGAGACCTTAAGTAAGCCGTTCAGAGCCACCGGCTGCTAAAAGCAGCGTCAGGAATTGAACCCAGCTCTGTGGCTGGAAAACACCTACACCCACCGAGCTCAACTGAACAGCAATATGATAAAAGCAAGAAATGTCTTTTTCCGAACCCCCAATTTTTCCAAATATATAATTTCCAATGCATTGTCTTTGTATAAAAATATTGAATGTTTATACCTGCCTCGATATAACTTGAAGAAAGGTGATTTTAGAGTAAATGTTTTGAATTCACCTCAAACACCAAGAATTATGCCTTGATTGCTCCAGCAAAGACAGAGAACGGAGAATGAAGTGACACCATTGTGCTCACTTGCGGATGACATATTGCAGCCAACTGTTTCTTAATTGCTTAGACCGTTGATAAATAATCCGGCCCGGCTGCTCTGCATAGACGGTTTGCTTTGGATCAGACCATGCAATTCAAACAGTACTAGTTAGGGTGAAATTCNGTTTGCTTTGGATCAGACCAGGCAATTCGAACCGTACTAGTTAGGGTGAAATTCTTTTCTGTAAGTTCCTGTGCGTTGCTGGGAAGGAAACCCCTACATAAAAAGTTAAGGCACTCCTCGCAGTCCCCTCTGACTGTGCCTGAGACACCGCACCTGTCCCCCGGCCCCAAGGTGTTTCAGTGGAATGAACCTTGACGGAATGAAAACGGATCGTGTTGGGGGGAAAAACCCCACAACCTATTATATTTATTTACTGTTTATTGCCCGCCATGGGTTTCTTTAATTTTACATTTTTCGTTAAAAGATGGAACAGACCAGAAGCTTTATTTAAAGCCGCACTTTCACTGAAACAAGCTGTGCGGCCCAAGGATGAGTTGCTGTAACTTACGGACAGTAAGAGACAAAGGCGTCTCCGCTTGAAAGAAACCAAGGCTTCAGGAAGCCTGGGCCGCATCGGGTTTGCGGGATCACGACCTCCTGGTATTTCTGACTGCAGGGCGCTGCGGCGAATGTTAAGTGGGGCGACTCCCAGGGGTTACTCGGGGCGCCCGGAGCCCGGGGCCGGGAGGCGCGATTTCGCCCCAGGCCCGCACCTCGCCCTTGACCGACTCCGACCGAAGGCAGCGTCCCTTCGAGGTGGCCATTTAACCAGACACCTTGGAACGCGAATCCCCTTTACGTTTCGGCCAGTTTTGGCTGAAGGCGCCGCGGTGACCAAATCGCAGGGTGCTGCGCGTCCCCAGCGCGTGTGACCATCTCCGCCTCGTCCTGTCTCAGCAGAGCACCATTGATTGTCACACTCGGCGGAGAGCCTTTTAGGGTCATACATCTCCATTAGCGCCGAGCTTGGGACCATGGCTCTTTCTGGTTAAGCCTGCATTATGTATTAGGAAGCCCATCTCTTCAATACCCAAGTTTGATCTCATTTTTCTAAGCCGAGAGCTCTTATTATGTATTATGTATAGAGATTCTTATCTTTCACATGTAAAAATAGGCCGCCCGTGTCTGTGTGACTGAAATACATGCCGTCTTTTTTCTCTTCTTGATCTACAGTTAGCGTATTATAATATGAAGATGAATATCTACAACGAGATGGCTGTCAGGGTAAATATTTCTTCACTTGTTAAACAAATGAAAAGTCAATTGTGCCTTGAATTCGTTTTTAATAAAATGGGGGGGACCAGAATAACGCCGATTTGATTGATATGCTGGTGGTTAACGAGAGGAAAGGGTGCGGAGTTGAAAAGTTAGCTGTGCTAAGTAATCCTGGCAGTATTAAAAATTAGAGTAAAATGTAAAACATGTAATTATCAACGCTTATGTTTTAGAATGTTAAACATCTCTGAGCCACAGCTACAGAGAGGCCATAAATATTAATGAAGCAGTGGATTCGTTTCCATATGTCATAGAGAATATTGTGATAAATAGATGAGCGTGGCTCTGAAATAGAAGATTCCTGCCCAATAGAAATCAATTAGACATTATCCCTATGATTTCACAGTAATAAAGGCAGCTTCCAGCTTAGAAGTTTTCTTTCTGCCATTTCTACGCCCGTTTTTATGTGTGATTTTTCCCGATGGGAAGCTGAATCCAGCGACGATGAGGCTGGCTTGGTTTCTGTACAGATTTTGGGAACGGACACGGCAAAAGTACTTTTTTTTTTTTTTTTTGAT